AGATCCGGAACTTCTATCTATAATCGAGGCCTCCTTCACATAATTCTACAAGCTGTTGTGCACACAAGTTGTAGTAGTTCTATTTTGTTTCCGTAATACTGATCAAGTAATAGAGATTTAAACCGATGAGGACTGTCAGTTGAACACGATCCCGGTGGTCCCTCATGGATAAGACAGGGTTTCCATTTATAGAGATCGGTCAAACCCTCAGTTTCATAAGACGACCTAACAGACATTCAGTTTTGTACGTCTAACGTACACATACGTACATCTACTGTTTCGTTTTATACACGATATATTGTATTGCAGTTGTATTCCAATCAAATTGCCCAGCTCAGCGAACAAACTAACGACCATTGTACTACTCTGCCCAACTAATCCTGTTCGAAAATATTTCGACACTGGACAATGAAGGTCTGGTAGCTCCGGGACTGTGAGTATCAGATTTACCACCGGAGTCCAGTTAGCTAAAGCTAGCACTCTGAGGATTTCCCAGTGGTCTTCAAAACAAGCGTTTATTACCTGTCATATACGGTGTGGCCTTTTTTATTTCCTTGATCGTTATCACCACGTAAAGAACAGTATCTGTGGCAGATTAGATCCCCTGATAAACTAGTTTTAGCCTATTTTTAGTCAGCTAGTGGTCACATCCCTGTGGTTGGACACAACCCCAAAAGTAGAAGATTAACTCCTCTACCACGCTGTTACACATGACGACGAAACGGGACCTGTGATTGAAATCGAGTGAACCTAGCCTTGGCTGTTGACGTCTTAATGCTCTTCTACAGTAGCGCTTTTATAACAGCCCATTTGTATTTGATCTTACGAGCCTATTTGCAAATTGGGTTCTAAAGTGGCGCCATTCGTTTATAATGCGGCATGATTCGGGAAGACTTACCTGGAATAAACTTGGTTAGACTTGTTTGAGCTTCGGTGCCAAAACAATGCACTATGCTTTTATCTGCAGGATTCACAAGTGAGCAAGCTGGGACACACGACATGCATGATTAGGACCTAAGCGATTTAGCTGGATTACCATTCATCCACATAACGAAGCCCTCCTCGTGAAGTTAACTTGACTGTTTTGGTAGCACCGATTAGCGAAACCAAACTAAAAGCTGTCAAGTTCACCATCTAATGAGGATCTCATGATTTGTTTTATTACACACACGCAATGAGATCATCCCCTCATAGGGAACGTCCAGGTGTCAAACACATTGAGCCGATCAAAAACTGGCACTACAGTTGACCGATGTGGTCCACAAGAGCTAAACAGAAATCAGTTTCATGCCAAGTCGTGTTCACATTTCCAGATTTCTGAAGAAAAGGTCGTCCTTTTGGGGGAATTGTAGAGTCAGGAGTGGGAACATTTTATGGTTCCCCCTGAGAAATTTGGGATTCTGCCCACCAGTTCAATGCTGGGGTTCTCTGAACCTGAAAGGTGTTCCTTCTTCGAGACCGCCAGGTATTCTGGATGTTTTACGTCTCACAGCTGTTATTCGTCTTGTGTACGTATTGGCATGGCGAATAGGGAGGCGTCCAACTTCACTAATTCAATCCATTTTATGCTCAGACGTGAGGAGCCTGTTTACCATCTATTATTCCGAAATTCACAAGGTTTATAGAGTTCAACTTCAAAACAACTACTTTTATTGATGCATGTTTTCAAATACAGTTAGATTCCCCGAGCATGCCTTTTTTCCGTTGGCACAGTGGAGTGTTGTCGTCCGAAACCATTAGGTCACCGCGTAGTGTTGACAGAATTGAACGCACTCGATATGATTGCCGGTTTGTAGTTGCTGTTTATCCATTGTGTATATGCTTGAATTCGTGTGTAGATAGAAGGGATTCCATATTTACCGCACCCGATTCCAGAGGAAGCGATTCCTGCCAAGTACCACTGAAAGACCAGAGAAAACAGGGCGTAGTTACTCATGGGAGACTGATGGGTAGAAGAGGTTTGAGAAGAAAGCCGTTCTCACTAATTAACGTGAAACAAGCACCAGAGCAAAGAACAAGAATTCGGCTGTTCACGTCAGTCAGACTCTCATTGTCAACATGGTCTACTTTGTTTTACTGCATGAGGTTTGTGAACATGAACTGCGGCTGCAAATTTGAAGATGTACATCATCACAGATATCCAGTTCGTTTGTTCTCTGAGCTGGATAATTTGATTTCTAACGTTCCACCACCAATTGAGGCGACATCATCAGTATGTTGTTAGGGTGAGGAGTCGAGTGCAGCGATGGGTCAATGGTTAGCCCTTAAGTGTTGGTGTGTGTGTGTGTGTGTTAGTGTGTTTGCCACTAGCCAAGTTTGACCTTCAACCACGATTAGTTGTTCGATCAGGGTGATTGGTCCCCTATTATTCAGTGTTCTGATTAATTGGTGACCCTGTTACCTATGAGCTTGGTCTTCTATGCTCTCATCATCCAGTTGATGCTGGAATGACCTCTGTCCTGGGTCTCTTTGGTGGTGTCACCTCAGTTGGTGATGAAACGTTTGCAGTCGAATTGCCCAGCTCAGCGAACAAACTAACGACCATCTACGCCACCCGAGCTACCAACATTTTCCTCAGCAACAGATACAGAGGATCGGTGGATGCCGATCTGTTCGCTGAACTAGGCGATCGACTTACAAACGTTTCGTGCTCAAGTAGCTGACGGGGCATGCCAAGGTGCACCGAAAAGTCACATGGCATGCCAGTATGTCTATTTCAATGAATGTCAAAAATCTACAAAACTGCTTTTCCTATGAAGCCCTATCCAAACTGTGCAAGCCAACAAAGCCGATTGACCTATGGTACGTGTTCAGCTACTAACCGGAATTTCACGAGTATGGATTCTCCGGATACTCGTGGAATGCACACTGCCGATGATTTCACTCTTTGAGCGATATATCTGCTTTGCGATTTCCCGCAAAGACCGACTTTACCTGCCGGATGGGATGTTAAAGGAAACTCCAATGTTCTTTTTATCTGACAACTGAAACTTCGGAATTCTCCTCAATTGCTAAGTATGCAACTATCACTGGGGATTTCATTCTAAAAATGAGGTCGGTTTATGCCGAAAAACCTATAGGCGGCGTGCTGCTTTTTCATCCTTGCTCAAAATCCCCACTAGTGGGTATCTTGCAAACCACTAGTGAGATTCGAACCCGGACCTTCAAGCCTACTTTCAGAACCATGTTCTGCTAGGCGTAAACCATCTCCGGCTCTCCCACTACGGTGAGATATCCTATGGTTCGATTACGTTGGACCGGGAAATCCGACAGTGTTGCCAGCCATTTATACATATATCAATTTTTTTCGTAGAGTGATCCTAAAGTTTTGCAAACCATGTTCCGACAGCAAATTCTAAGCTGTTGTTCACAACAGTTTTCTCCATTGTCAGCATTTAAAAAGCGAGATGACTAGTGAGCTGATAATTCACTCTTAAGGGGACTATCCAAACTAACCTTTGAGGATGCCGAGTTGTGTGTTACCTATTGCCGATGGTCAGGCTTCCAGTTTTGGTCATATTCATTTGACGCTGTCTTCATCTCGGAGACAGCTGCTTATTCCTGGCATAAGAGAGCTGGTTCTGCGTTTATGGGAGCTTCTCCCGACCACCACTGTGTATCATCATTACGGATGATCTTAACAGGTTGAATAAGGATTTCTACTGAATGTTTACGTTATTTTAGTGTACTTATTCATTCAGGTGAACCTTTGCGTCCATTTACGTAAGGAGGTGATCGGTGATAAATGAAAGTTACTTTTTGAATTTGCGTCATTTCAAGTCACTCATTGAAAGGCTTTACATTGTAATCGACTACCTCGGGTAAAATCATCAGCGCACCAGTAGATTGACTGTAACTAAAATCAATGACTTGCCTCGTCAAACTGTTCAGCTTCATGATCGTAAGACCCATGTACGGCGCAAATCAAAGGGCCACCACTATCTCCTTGACATGTGTCTCCGTCATCCAGCTGACCACCAGCACAAATAAGTGTATCCGATTGCAGCCGCCTTCTGGTCACATTCTCGGGGACTTTATGGTTTAGTAAGTTGAGCAGACCCATGCACGACTTCCTGGTCACTATGGCAACATGCAAATCTGTTGAAAAATAGACGAATAAGTTGCACTTAACCATACTAGGGAGGGATTACACAAACTTACATTGGTTCTCCACCTCATGCGGGAGGACGGCGTTGTGTCTTAAGCGCCCAGCTCCAGCAACCAGACAGGGCACCGCCTCAGAGCTTACAGGCTCTAATTGTTCGAGTGCACTTACATCACCCACTTCCTCACCCCATGGAAGTATGTCATCGATTTTCTTGGAGTTGATCTTCACCAACGCAATGTCATCCGAGAGAATGTTCTTCCTATCAAAATTCGGATGGACGAAAATCTTCTCGATTGGGTGCTCAGGTAATCCACGAACTAGATGAGAATCGTGATTAAGCCCGGAGGTAGTGTTCGGCATGAATCTGGCCACTTTCAAAAGCCGTAATGATCTGCGCAGGGGAGGGGGTGGAGGAAACTGGTAAATTTCAGTGAGGCTTACTTTTTTAGATGGGCCACACAGTGCGCAGCAGTGATTATCCACTCGGAAGAAAGAGCTGTACCACCACAAATGTGTCGAGGCTTCACGCTTTGAAAGTAGGGAGTAACTTGGACGATGGCTACCACACGTGAGGCAATGTGAGTTAGTACAACATTAGACAGGGCAACTCCGTTTAGACGTAAAAGTTGTTTCGCATGGTCCGTCCAATTGGAAGGTTCTGTTTGGTCAACCAGTGATGTGTTCATTTGTGTGTAATCGTAGTATGTCGTATTCGGCAAACTATTTGAACCGGCAGTAACGGCATCGAACACTCCAGCGAAGTTCTTTTTCAATCGGTAGCCTCGGTACACCGCTGGTCGCAGAATGGCAGGATAATTGCGGTGCCCATGCCAGAGCAATAATGCTAATAGTGAAGTCGCTACTGAAATAAGGAAAGTAGGCAGGAAAGTGAAGGCAGTAATTGGCTGTTTTAGTTGATGTTTACGGCCAAACTTCTGACTGGAGGTAGTTCTTGTCTTGTAAGAGGGACCGTTTTGCACACTTCTAACCTGAATAGCTTTAGTATGGAAGTCCTCTTAGATTCGATTCAGTCAAATCAACAAAACCATGATAACACTGGTGGAATGTTCTTATTTAAATCAGTGAGGCCAATTCAAGTACACTGACATCCGGAATGCAATCGTTATAGTTTACCTAATAATTTATACCAGCTGTATTATTTTTTACATGGCATACTAGCTCATTCATGTATTTATCTACTTACTCACGCACTAAATAACCAGCCGACCAACTACTAACTAACTGAGCAACTGGTCAACTAAACAAATAACCAAGTAACCAGAAAACTAACTAACTAACTAAATGAACCAACTAACCAACTTACTAAATACCTAACTGATTGACTAAACCGACTAACCACCTAGCTTACTTAGTTGCTCACACAGTAACTGACTAATTAATTATCCAACCGAACAATCAACTACTCATTCACTCCCAAACTCAGCAGCCAACCCATTGCATAACGCACATGCTTGTTTATTCGTTAAATTTTTCATCTATTTGCTTACCAGCTTGCCTACTTACATACATGCCCGTTCACTCAGTTATTTACTTACAGACCACCTCATTCAATCACAAGTTTTCGTTTTATTCTTGCCTGGCTACTTGCTGGCTTATTTGCATACCTACATACCTACCTAAGTACCAATTTGACCACTTAATTACCCGGCTATCCGCCTTGGCTACCCAAGCAACTACATAATTTCTTTACCATACATTTATCCTCCTCTGAAATAAAGACACCGGTTTCCTAGGTCAGTGAAGCATAGCTGGTTCTCACTGACAGATATAGCTCAAAGTCATAGACCACAGATCTCTGGCACCTATTCTAACTAATTTTAGTTAATATTAGAGCTTTCTTCTGGATCCTTGACTCAAAAACTTTTTGCCTAACCGAGAAAAACTAATATGTGATGTCTACCGACCAACTAGGTTGATTTACGTCCAGGGTATTAGAGTAATTCTGTTTCTGGGCATCATTTGCTATCCAGTGCATGAATAAGTGGGCACTGGGCAGTGGCAATTTTTGTTCGGGTTTGCTTTGAGTCCCTGACGTGCAAAATTTTGATGTGCAGATGCTTTGCTGACATCAACACTCAGTTATTTACTTACAGACCACCTCATTCAATCACAAGCTTTCGTTTTATTCTTGCCTGGCTACTTTCTGGCTTATTTGCATGCCTACATACCTACCTAAGTACCAATTCGACCACTTAATTACCCGGTTATCCGCCTTGGCTACCCAAGCACCTACATAGTTTCTTTACCATAAATTTATCCTCCTCTGAAATAAAAACACCGGTTTCCTAGGTCAGTGAAGCATAGCTGGTTCTCACTGACAGATATAGCTCAAAGTCATAGACCACAGATCTCTGGCACCTATTCTAACTAATTTTAGTTAATATTAGAGCTTTCTTCTGCAGCCTTGACTCGAAAGCTTTTTGCCTAACCGAAAAAACCTGATTTGTGATGTCTACCGACCAACTAGGTTGATTTACGTCCAGGGTAGTAGAGTAATTCTGTTTCTGGGCATCATTTACTATCCAGTGATTGAATAAGTGGGCACTGAGCAGTGGCAATTTTTGTTCGGATTTGCTTTGATTCCCTGACGTGCAACATTTTGATGTGCAGACGCTTTGCTGACATCAGTGTTGCGAAAGATAACCCTGTCTTCAGTCTAGCCGGTTGGACAACTTACTAATGATGGATGAAAAGTAAAATAGGTATGCCGGAATTTCGACCCTGAGCGCCATTGCCTCCAAAGCATTTCTGCCCATTGTGGGGCTTGTTTTATGATACCTCTACTGACCTTAACTCTCCAGTTTATTCATGATCTATTCAGATACACATAAATACGGTCGGGAAGTTTTCTAACATTCCATATGATTTTAGCATTTTCTGAAGTTAGTTTTAGTTTGTTTTCTGGGGCACACTGAAATCACTCAACAGCATAGCTCCTGAATAGCTGAGGCCACCCTGATCCGTTTTCAGTAGCCTACACCTTTGTCTGGCGAAAAGTCTAAACAAACGTTACAGCTTCGCTTATCGCCTTTGTAAGTCGTCTCCTCATCAATATCACTAATTCAGCATTTAATAGAGATTTCATCCTGTACATGAAGTTAGTTCATGCTTAAAAGTCGGAGAGCACAGTATAGCTTCCTCGTTCTTATTGGGACCAATCAACAGTGGACATCTCACAAAACTCAGAGAGTTCGAAAACCTGAAACCTTCCGGCCGGTGGCTGAGACTTAACCGAGTGGCTGCTTAGCAGTGTGATTAACTCTGACTTAGACAGGATATGACGCCACTAATCCTTCAATAACGGGGTCACGTACTGACTGGCTCCTTAGGACGCGACTTTTCATAAAAGAGTTTCATTCATCCTCATTCATCATTCATCCTTCCAAGCCACCTGTTTGGCATTGTCTTTCTATTTCAGTGCTGATGAATTTGTGTAGATTTTCTATAATTCCGCATAGGGAATATTGAGAGCTTCAACTTGGCTTTCATCTTACTGAACCATTTTCCTCCAAATGCTTCGTACGCTGAGCGAGAATTCTGGACTGAATTCTACGCCGTTTAAAATCTATTAGGTTGTAAAACTGTTCTTCCACTTTGGACCAAACTTTCATTTCAAATGAGAAGTGATTTTTCTACTTAAGGATACATCAGACGAATAACTGGGAGAGGTTAGATATCATGAACTTTATGAGACGGTAAAGCTTTTTATTGTGTAAAATTTTGCAAACAGGAATGGTTTTTGCCAATTGGAGTGGTTAGTGCGACAAACGCGTCAGCCATTTAAGATTAGAAGGAAAACGCCTCCAAAAAGCCTCACTACTGATTACAATACCTGTCATATTTTTCTGACTGATCGCCTTGTTTTCTGACAAACCCGGAACCACTCTGGTGCGCTGAAAAGAGGTGGAATCCCTGTAGGCGCTGAATTACTAATGATTCAGCTCAGTTTCTATGAGATCCATGCTGGCCACCACGGTGTTAAATTAAAATTTGAACCTACGTTGACTTTGCCCAGACTGAAAACGCATGTGGATATTAAAACCCAGTTTTTATGGTGGGGTTTTTCTGTTTTACCTGTTGAGCTGTACCAATTTGTGTGGAGTAGTTTTACTATGTTAGCCTCGTATTTCGAAGGTCTGTAATTAAAGTTACGGATTTTCTCCCATCACTACATCGTCGTTATTATTACATGCTAGTATTGTGACAGGAGTTGAATTCAACTGGGACAAACGGTGGTTTGACAATCTGATCGATCATTCAGGCTTACGGGGTAAGCTGATGAGTGAAACCGTTGTATCCTCCGTCACAGGTGGGGCGAGATGGCCCAAGTGGTTAGAGTGCGAATTTACTGACCGGAATCCGACGTCTGCCACTCGACTTCCCCTGTCTAGGCCTGGACAACCTGGCAGTATCCCAGCCCTTGTGTTTCCTTCTGGTGGAATGGCAATTAGGCACCGGAAGGGTGCTACAGCTGAACGCTTTCTTTCTTTCCTTTCTCCGTCACAGGCAACGTTTGACCTGATAAACTTTGTGAACGATAACACTGGATAGTGAGGCATTGGTTTAGTTAGAATACTGTCACAAAATTCATACCACTTTTTGCATAACGTTTTAATCTGTGGGATCAAATCACTGCACTCCCAGTCTCTTGTGTCGGGATGAGAATGAAGCTTCTTTTTTCAAATGGCATTCTCCACGTCCGCTGCTTTGAGGACAGCAATCAGTCGACGGCCTTTTGCTTGTTTGGAAACCAGAATCTTTTCTTAAAACCGTTTTTAATGCTGGATGGTGTGGCTTAAGCAGCACTGCTGGTGCTTCTTGCATGAACCGAACTTGGTTGCAATTACATACACTAATACCACTTTGCCCACTCATCCAGAAACACATGTGTTTTCTGAATATCACAAGGGGTACGTTTGTTTTGTTTCTTATTCTCTAGTACACAACAAACAATAGGTGAGGTCCGGCACGTAAAACTCAGTGTGATCGTAAATCTCTCCCTAAAATTTGTAGCACACAGTGGCAGATCTCCATAGTCCGTGACCAAAAGCTTTGATAGCCAAGCATGATGACCCAGTATGATAGGCGTTGGCAGGTAACCGTGGATTTCCAACACGGGATGGTCTAAGGATGCAACCGCGTGAGAAACAAAACGTAATGTCTTTTGTCACTTGTTAAATCAGTACTGTGTGAGCCGAGAGATTTTGTAGTGGCTACCAAATCATTTTAAGTGGCCTATTTTGGGTGCACAGATAGGATCGACAACGCGGAGCAAACGCCGCTAAAAACCGCCAACTTATGATGAAAAAGGTGTGAAGCGCCCATCTGTGTGCTGGCCTTTTTCCGAAATTATCCTCCAACTAACTAACCTTAAATTTAGTTTCATTTTGGTAGGGAAACCAAATCGTATTCATTGCATTCGGTGTCCTGGAAACATCACAAACTAGAGATTCAGCTGGGTTCCAGGTGAGCCTCTCAGAAGACCAAATTAGTTTGCAAATGAGTGTATATTCGCTAATTTCGTGCATTTTGGTTTCAAGTAGAACATAAGGTTGACGGAAACCCGAAGACTGCGCCTATCTGATGAGCCCCAAAAAGGACGAAACCGGTCGTGGGCTTACGACCTTACGAATAGTGCGTTACAAATATATAATTTGTATTATCTTATCTGGACCAAGCCCTTTTTCTCCAGAATCGTAAGTTTTTTTACATTTTATTAGTCCTACTCTCCACCACCATGCATTAACAATCGATCCTTTTCACTGACTAGGCTACAAGGCTATGTGGTTGGGCATCGCTGAACTAATTGCGAAGTACTTATATGCAAAATATGTCGTTAAAACTTACCTATAAGGCTGGCACGCAGTGATCGACCATGAAATTCTCTGAGTGGGAACATACTGTGCACTACAGCATCACAGACTAGAGAAATCGGTTCGGGTAAACTAATTTAGCGTCATATGTGTATCACATGACATCCACGAGGCTAACCCAAGAGGTCAAGTGATACAAGCAGCATTCAACCAGAGACAATACAGTAAGAGTCACGCACGTGAAAATGCTCTGATTCTCAGTAAACAGAAACGCCAGCCTGCAGGGAGCCCGAAAGTGAAAACCAATATGTTCCACAGAAACAGCCACATGACAGTAGATGTGTTTGAGGAAAGGGACGCATAAGAACATCAGACTTCACTCAATGCTGGATTTCATTCGGCTATGAAATTCAGTTCTGCCAGACTGAGTCAGCCGTAACCGTTCGGAGTCAGATGGCTAGTAAACAGAATAATGAGCATACCGTTGGCAGANCTGCTGAACCGTGCGGACTCAATCACCCGACCAGATCTTCCAGTACGCATTTATAGATTAACTCGACAGCTGTTTTGCTTTCGCAACATAATATTCGCATGATAGGCGTACAAAGCATCTAGCGGGAAACGGAAATCAAGCGTGGTTTGTCAAATGTGATCACTCCCGATTCGTCAAACTTTAGGTTAAGACCACCACAGTAGAAGAAATCAGGGATCACCCAAAAACGGCTGGTGACCCAGTGAGTCGATACCCCCATCTGAACTACAAAGAACAGCCGGCTCACTGAGCGGCACAGAATGTGTGAGTATACAAATTTTTTATGGCTGTGTCGATATCAACGGGATGAAGCTCTTTGATATTACAGACATCCAGACAAAATCCTATTCCCCATAAAGGGACTCAGGAAGGACTAAACCCCAATTGGACTATAGCATCTTGATGGTGTTTTTTAGCTGAAAGCTTAGATTTTATATTACAAAAACTCGAAGCCAAGTAAAAACGGTGAGTTTGTCTTTTTGATGACGTTGAGCCTATGATTGTTTGAAAGGGTGGGGAACTTGCTGAAGAATAACACTACTCATTGACCATGCAATCAGTAGTATTGCCGAAAAGCAGTCTGAGCATACAACCACGGGTGAGATAGGTAAGGTTGCTTTGCTAGAACTTCAGCCCGTTCATCTGAGCTCATACAGATGGTAGCATCGACAAGGGGCACCCTATTCCACCCGTTAGATAAAAAGCTTCCAGATCAATTGTCCAGTTCCTGCTCTCCCTCTAGATGAAAGGTCGTCCAATAAAACTTGTGGATATAGTCCAAGGTGAAAAAACCTCAACTCATGAGATCCAATAGTGACCATTCTAGCATGTGACCTGTTAGCAAGACAAATGCAGACACTTCGTACTTTGATATAAACACGAACACATGACGTATTTTCTTGTGACAAATGAGATAAGCTGAGGACCCTTTTACAACCTAACACCCTTTAGCTGCTTTTGGGGCTTAGCGGGTAGGCCTAGTCCCCGAGGCCCCATGGAACACCCTGTATTTGAACCCAGATAGTAGGTGTGTTGGGATGAAACTTCCTCTTCAAATTAGGCTGAATTTACAAGTTATCATTTTGTTAGGAGTTTGGGGATTTTAATGAAAATCTCTTCCTGCAAGTGAAGCCTATCTATGCTAAATGCCGAGAAGCAGAGTACTGGTGTTTCATCTTCAATGGGATTAACCAGCAGTGTGCATCCCACGAGGTCCCAGGGAGTCTCCAAATTAGCATGTTGATCACAACCGGTCGACCTCGAGCGACTGATCAGCAGTGTGTTTGACCGCTAAATGCCGAGAAGCAGAGTACTGGTGTCTCATCTTCAATGAGATTAACCAGCAGTGTGCATCCCACGAGATCCCAGGGAGTCTCCCAATTAGTATGTTGATCACAACCGTTCGACCACGAGTGGCTGATCAGCAGTGTTTGGCTCGCACTTGAACAGGATACAACGCCCCGCATCCTTCATAGGATCCAAATCACGTGGTCACACTTGTAGACTGAGTATTCAGACAAATAATTCTCAGGCGGAAGTTTCACTCATCAGAGGAATTTTGTTCTTCCACTGAGTTACTTACAGATTGTTGGCAGCGTGAGGAAGCTTGGGAATATGGGATGAACAGCACTGTCCCGGCTAAGTGACGGCTAATCACTGCTGCCCAGCCACTCATGACCAAGTGGCTTGGCGTTCAATCTACTAGCAAGGAGGTCGTAGGTTCGCTAAACTCTGGAGTTTTGATATGCACACTGTTGACTAGTACCAACTAGAGTGAAACAGCTCTACAGTGCTTCTGGGCTTTTCAGCACGGTATGACTTCACTTACATGAAGAAATCTCCTTTAGTAGTATGATATTACAGAAATGGTTTGTAAACCCAGGTCTATCATCCTAGCTAGGCACAGTACCTGAAAACAGATCGGTTTGTTTTGGACAGTTAGTGCCGTCCGCTTTTCGTCGTTCAAGCAGTGCTTATGGTTGGCAAACACTTTCTGTATTATTCAACGTAATCGGAAATTACTTGATCGAGAATCCTGAAAACAGAGTGTTTTATTGTTGTCAAGAGGACAAACCGAAATTTAAGGGGAATTTGTAACAGACAAACTGACTGATCGACAGGCGATCAAACTCAACGCGCGCATTACGCTAACTGACCTTGGGGACAAGCTGGAGAAACAATCCAAGTCATCTTTTACGTGAATCTCCCCCTAATGGTTTACGAATGGGGTTCCAATGTACCCGGTTTGGGCTATATTGTATGAGAGACATCGTGGTTGGACATCAGTGTCCACCGGGGCATTTTTGGTCCTTATGAAGATGCAATTTATGCTGTGATCAAAGGTCATGAGCACAACGATTTCTGTGGAACGCCCGCAATTCAGACTGAGGCCAAAAATATATTTCACGAAGTTCAATACCAAGTGGAGTCAAGAAGCCGGCAAGTAAGAGGGGTGTTGGCTCTAGTAGCAAGACCCAGTAAAAATGTATTCCCACAGTAGTTATTCTATGAGAAGTATGAATTTACTTTCACTTTACGGCGGATTTTTCTTGGATAAGGGTGAGCCAACCTCGAGGATACTCCGAATTGTGACGTATGATCAACCTGACCACTAATTTCTGAAGTGACACTGCAGACCACGTGGAAGCCTAGTAGATTAATACCAGTCCTGCTGACAGCCAGGTTATTGACAATAAACTGGCTGCGAAAGCGTCATTAGGAGCTACGCACCGACGTCAGAGGAAATTTGGCTAGTCAAAATGTGGTTCTGAGGATAACCCGTCCGGACGAATGCAGCCAGCATTGTTGGGTCACGCTGGAGATGCGTGAGATATTACGGCATCGTCCTCTGACACCGTCGCAAGCGCCACTGGCCAAGTACCTCAAGTTCGCGAAGAGCGAATGTTTGGAGAGATAAGACTTCAAGGGCTCATTCTGGAACGGATCGGATGGTTACGTTGGAACTACGCAGCCTCATTCATATACTGGCTTCCGGATGTCTTCGCAGAAATATAGAACTGCACCATTCGGACATCTGTTTCTCGCTGTGCTTAGACATTCGAGAAACTGTTGAACCAAAGTAATTAAATGAATAGACTTGGTTTGCAGGCTGTCCGTTTGTGCTGAATAGGCCAGACTAAAAATCCGCGCTTGTGGGGAAGAACTTTGTATGGCAAGTATCTAGTTTCAGGCCAATCAGCGATGCTACCAGGACTAGGGTGTATATTTTGGATGTTCACTCATAGCGATGAATTCTTTAGTGTGGCCATGTCAGCAACGTGGGTGACAGTGCTTAATTCGGACTACGGGAAATTGCCTAAGGCATAAGGGATTATCTGGTCATTTGCAAACTTAAAAAGCACAGATATAGGCGGTCAGTACTGTCAAAAACAGGAGTTTAAAGAAAAAGGTGTTGTCTATTGCTAGATGCTAGGATGGAGGTACTTTTGCTTGATGAGTTTCAGTAGTCTATCCAGCAAGCCTCAAACTTTTGGGACAGACCAGAGATACTAGCTGCCTACTGACTGAATCAAACGCCCTAGGGCGAGTCCACATGGAAAGCGGTGCTTGGTTGCTAGAATTTGTAGCGGTGTTCCAAACACGGCGTGACGTGAATATTTTGCCACCGCAACCTGCTTCTGTAACTAGACCTCCGTGCCTATGTCCGGTATAAAACTCTTACTCCTCTGAGGCGGAGCGTTTCAGTTATTAGGTTGCTAGAATTTGTAGCGGTGTTCCAAAAACGGCGTGACGTGAATATTTCGTCACCGCAACCTGCTTCTGTAACTAGACTTCCGTGCCTCTGTCCGGTATAAGACTCTCTTACTCCTTTGAGGCGGAGCGTTTCAGTCATTGAGACAGGTTGATAAACCTGTTCTCGGTGAGTTCTTTGCATATCATGTTGTTGCAGAGGCTATGACAGGGATATATGAAGCAATGCAGTGAGCAAAGTGAACAGAGAGAACCAATTAGTTTGCTATCTTCGGTGCCCGGGGAGATGACCTGAGTTTATCAGTGTGGGCTGTAGTGTAAATTTGTCCCGAATATGCGTTTGTATGCAGATGAGGTGAATTGTGACAAGTTCAGCGGGTGGACAAGCGTTTTTTTGACAGCGTCGGATTATGATGTCGGGTGACGATAGCCTCAGCCACTGCGAATACGCTGTGATGCACGTGTCTATGCTGATTAGCATGCGTTTTGTAGACAACGCGGGAACTTCAAGTGCACATGGCGCTGTGTACCGAGTCTGCTGAGTGCTACATAGTTGTGCCAGAAATTGTTCTTCTAGTACAGCGGTGGATTATTACCCATAAGTCTTTGATGGAAGCGCCTCGTCCAGCAATCACTTTGTTCCGCTACCTAATCTGGGAAGGCACAAACGCTTTATCTCTCAAAACAAAAAAGAATGTTTGTTTACTTGTGAACCAGAGGCGATGGATTTCGGCGGGGAATAATTTCTCAGAGTGATGCTGTGAGTTTTTCGACTGAGTAGGCTAACCAGCCTCAGACTGAAGGCTAGTATGAACTAGATTCCTTTTGACTGTTGTGATAACG